TCAGAGTGGTCATGGCGTGGAATGCATTGCCAGAAAAGGTAGTGGAGTCGGCCTCATTAGGGGCATTTAAGCGGCTATTAGATAAGCATATGGATGATAGCATAAGGTAGCGGTGGAGGTTAGATAGACCTTAGGTTTAGGGTAAAAGTTCGGCACAACATCGTGGGCCGAAGGGCCTGTACTGTGCTGTACTGTTCTATGTTCTAAAACAAGATCCCTACAGGCTTAATCCTTTCAAAGCAACACATGTTCAGAAGGAAGTGGAAGCAATGTTCCAAGAAGACATCATAGAAATGAGTAAAGGTGAGTGGAGTTTGCCGATCACGTTGGTTTCCAAATCTAATGGTACGCAATGTTTCTGCATAGATTATTGGAAGGTTAACACCCTGACCAACTCTGGCTCATACCCAATTCCAAGGCTGGACGAGGATTGTGGGAAAAGTAGGACAAGCCACTTACATCACAAAGTTGGACTTACTTCGCGGTTACTGGCAAGTGCATTTGTCGGAGAGAGCAAATGAAGTTTCTGCCTTTGTGACCCCAAATGGGTTATATCAATTTAAAGTAATGCCCTTTGAAATGAAAAATGCACCAGCCACTTTTCAAAACCTTATGAGCAGGGTTGTTGCAGAATTGACTGATTGTGCCATCTACATAGATGACTTAGTGATCTCTAGCCATACGTGGAAAGATCACATGGAGCATTTGGCAGAGCTCTTTGAGAGACTACGGAAGGCAAAGTTGGTTATAAACTTGGCAAGAACAGAATTTGCGGTGGTGGCAGTGATTTCCTTAGGGCACAACACCAGATACGGACGGATGACACAGAGGAACATGAAGACAAAGGCCATCAACAAATTTCCAAGACCCATCCTCAAAGAAGGAAGTGCTATGATTTTTAGGATTCAGCAGATTCTGCAGGAAACATGTACCAAACTTTAGTAGCATATTGGCACTGTTGATGAATTGGTTTTTAAAAAAAACACGAAATTTCAGTGGACAGAACAATGTCAAGAGGCATTTGAGAATTTAAAAGCAGTGTTAACTACCGCACCAGTTTTAGCCACGCCAAATCTTTAGAAAACTTCGAAGTTGTCATCAGCATGAGCAATGTATGGGTTGGAGTTATGTTGTAACAGGAGGATGATTGTGGAATTGAAAGGCCAATCGGTTATTTTTCAAAAAAGCTCAATATCCACCAGAAAAGATATTCAGCCATTTAAAAAGAGTTACTGACTTTGATAACGGCCTTACAACATTTTAAGGTTTACATTGCAAACAATGCATTAGATACGATTGTATATCACCATCTTTTAACATTTCTAGAAAGATTTAATGACAAGAACACTAGATGATTTTGATGGAGTCTCATGTTACAAGCATTTAATTCATCACAGATGCTTTATCATGAGATTTAAAGAAATATGCTTATATAAAATAGAAGCAATAATGTGCAATGTTATATATAAACAGAATTAGTACAAAGTATGTAACTCTAGATTAATGAGCTATGGATCTAGTAATATAATGGACTTAAGGGCTTTACAAAAACAAGAAGCCATCTTTTCATAATGATGGTTCTTTTATTTTCTTGGGGTAGGTGGCTTTGCAAAGTTGGGTAGCGTACTTGTGAATGGAAGTCAGGAAGCTAGAACTTGGTGTTTGTAAAATGCTAGAGGGGAAAGCATTAGGTGGTCGCTTTAAAAGCTGATGTGCTTTTGTTATGCTTAGAAATTTAAAATAAATGTCTGAGAGCAGCAGCTTGAAAGTTTACAACTACACAGTGTCCCAGAATTGAAACATTTGTATTGAAAAGGTTGTACAGTTAGCAGGCCAGGCAGCAGCTTTCACCAAGACTAAACTTTTGAATTTAGCCAATCAATTTGAACCAGGCATTTAGATACCAAAAAAATTAAATTTAAATCTGATGGTTTTGACAACATGACCAATCCTATCGTAAGAAATATTGAGATGTCATCAAGGGTATAAAAGAAGGGGACAGTTGGACAAAGTCACAGAGCTAACTGCCACTGCTGACAGCCCTCAGCTCTCAAGAGAAAATCACTGCCTCTCACAGCCTCCTCTATGTCTTAGAGGAAGTACCATCTAAATAACAGCAGTACCAACAGCACAACTAGTGAATATTCCTGACAGAAGAATCGACGGAGAAGGCACAGAGCATTCCGGAAGACACAGAAAGACTAAGTTCTATTTTTTTTTAATATAAGTGGTACTTGTATTTATTGGAACAGCATACCATTAGAATCTTGCTTTATTCAGGAATAGTTAGTAGTTAGAAGTGATTTATTCCATTTGTTAATAATTTAGTTAATTTGTTCACAGAGTTAGATAAATAAAATCAACAAGTAACAATTTGAAGCAAGTGTCAGGAATTTATTTTACTTAACCACTAGAAGTTACTGAAAAGCAGGTTACACCACTTTTCACAATCCTTTTACAGATTATGAGGTGAGGTTTTCCTCTTTGGATATTTTGGCTTTAATTCTCAGAGGAGGGGTCAATCTCCGCTTTATAACACCATATATGTGTCACTGAGGTGTTAGAGGGTGCGGGGTATGAAATGTGTCATAAAATATGATTTCTTGCTGTGCATCATGTATATGTTTATTGTGGTGGATCAGATGCTAATCAAGCAGGCTGCTTTGTTCCAGATGAAATTTACATTCCTGAACGGAGCTGCATTCATTCAGGCAACTGGACAGTGTTCCAACACATTCTTGACTTGTGACTCAAGACTAGCTTTGGGAAGCCAGGAGTTGAGTTACACACCATAGAATTCCTAGCCCCTGACATGCTCTTGTAGCCACAATATTTATGTGGGTTGTTCAGTTTCTGATCAGTGGTAACCTCCGTGAGTTGATTGATGTTCAATTACATTCCCTTGGCTAAGGGCAATGGCTAGATTCTCTTTTACTGGAGATGGTCATTTTCTGGCACTTGTGCGATATGAATGTTATTTGCCACTTGCCAGTCCAAGCCTGAATACTGTCCAAGTCTTGCTGGATTTGAATGTGGACTGCTTCAGTATCTGAGGAGTCATGAATGGTGCGAACATTGTCCAATCATCAACAAATATCCCCACTTCTGACCTGACAATGGCAGGAAGCTCATAGATGAAGTAGCTGGAGGTGGTTGGGTCTACCCTAAGTAATTCTGCAGAGCTGCCTAGGAACTGATGACAACCTCAATCATCTTCCTTTGTGCTGGTTTAAAAAAACTGTGGATGCTAGAGATCTGAAACAAACAAAAATAGAAACTGCTGGAGAAACCCATCAGGTCTGGCAGTGTCTATGGACAGAAAATAGAGGTAATTTTAGAGTCCTGTGAACCACAATGATGCCAAAACTGAGTTTTTCCAACAAAGTTTTTTTGTTTGTTCTTTTATATTAAGTGTGTCTCCATTGAATGAAGAGTTTCCACAATTTCAAATGACTCCTGCTTGGGCCTCTTCATGCCTTATTCAGTGAAAATCTGCATTGATGTCAAGGTTAGTCACTCTCAACTCACCATTTGGGGTTCAGCTCTTTATTTTTTTTTTAAATTGGTCTGGAGCCAAGTTTTCTTCTCTAACTCCCCACAATGTCCTGAGATACATTTGATCAGGTCCCAGAGATTTATCTATCTTTACGCTTTTTAAGACTTCTAGCTCTTCCTCGTCTGTAATGTGAACTGTTTTCAACTCATCAGTATTTATTTCCCCAAATTCTCTAGCCTCCATTTCTTTCTCCACACTGAAGACTGACATGAAATATTCATTCAGTATCTCACCCACCTCCTGTGGTTTCACATATAGACAATTTCATTGATCTTTAAGGGGCCCTTATTCTCTCTCTAGTTGGTCTTTTGCTCTTAATGTACTTGTAGAATCTCTTTGGATTATCCTTAATCTTACCTGCCAACGCTATCTCATATCCCCTTTCTTGCCATCCTGATTTCCTTAAGAATGCCCCTAAACCCCTATGGTCATCAAGAGATTCACTGGATGCCAGTTGTCTACATCTAATATATGACTCCTTCTTATTTTTGACTAGAGCCTCAATACCTTTATTCTTCCATTGTTTCCTACTCTTACCGGTCTTATTGTTCACTCTAGCCGAAATATAATGCCTCTGAACTCTCGTAATCTCACTTTTGAAAGCCTCCCACTGGCCAGTCATCCCTTTACCTGTGAATAATCTACTCCAAATCAACTTTTGAAAGTTCCTGCCTCATTCTGTCAAAATTTGCCTTACCCCAATTAAGAACTTTAATTTTTATACAAGACCTATACTTTTCCCTAACTATTTTAATACCAATAGAATTATGATCACTGGTCCCAAAGTGTTCCCCCACTTATGAACACTATTGCACTTACTGAGCCTGGTTCACCAAGCTTACCCCCAGTCAACACCTAAATTTATTGGGTCCCCTTTTAAAGTTAGTGAGATCTTTTCTGGGATTTTGTAGGAAGGTGTCTTGAGTAGTTACAGATCCACCTGTCCTATTAGTAGGGGGTATTCATGACCTTCCCCAGGCTACATCCTGTTGCAATACGCATGAGTTTCTGAGAAACTTGCACCATTCACCTTCCTTCCTCTTTCACAGGTCCCCCACCACTCCAGTTCTACAAAAGGTTAGATTCCTGTAGCAGGCCAAAGACAGGAAACTTTTTTTTTCAGTACCTCTGGTCCTTCCAAATGGGATAAATCAAGTCCAGCAAATAAAAGCAAAATACTACAGATGCTGGAAATAACAAATAAAAACAGTGAATGGAGATACTCAACAAGTCTGGCAGCATATGTGGAGAGACATAGAGTTAATATTTTAAGGCCGAAATGACTCTTCTTTGGAACAGAAAGAAGCTGGAAAATGTACCACTTACTCAAAACATTAACACTATGTGCCTTTCATCTTTAGTATAGCTCTGACAGTTCAACACTGAAAACAAGATCCCCACATGTTGTCGCTTAAATTTGGACAATCATGCAAAGGTGGTTTATTGTAGTTTATGATAAATGCCATATGACAATATGAACTGCAAAGTCATCTTGCCTAAGGAAATTGCATTAAGTGCACCAATAATAAGATATTACAAAAAAAAGAGATCTATTAAAGTCTTACAAACATCAATGTTCTAGAGCACATTAAACAGTTAACTTTTCATGTAGAAAAAGTGTAAGTTGCCATTGTCCCAGAAAACCATAGAGATGCTTTGTCATTAGAGAGAGAGACATGACTAGTGGTGGTTCATCCTGAGGTCACCACACCTAGAACAAGGGGAGAGATTGAGAAGAGTCTTTCATGGTAGCCTCAGCCCGCACTGGAATTGAACCCATACTGTTGGCAGCACTCTGCATTGTAAACCAGCCAACTGAGCTAACAGACCATAGATATTTACTTTTTTTTTTAAAAGAAACGAGGTAATTTCTGTCCTCTCCACCCACGTTCAGCTCAGGACACACAGATCATGCAGTCTATCAAGGACTGGTAACAAAATTTTTATATAATGCACCTTCATGAACATTAATACAGAGCCAGAGCAAGTCAATGTGTGTATGTGTTTGAGAGAAAGAACATGTTTTTGTGAGAAAGTAAAGAGAAAGTGTGACATTGTGTATGAGTGTATGCACGAGAGTGAATGTATATGTGTGTGTGAGAGTGAGAATGTGCAAGAGAATGACAGTGTAAGTATGAGAGAGAGAGATTGTCTGTGTTTGCTTCTTTAAATGTATGTGTGTATGCATATGTTTGCATACTTGTGTGTGTTTGCATGCACACATTACAGATTTTCCTAATGGTTTGATCAGATTCCACTTCCACAACAAAAAAAAATGTCCATCTTAAACTTCCCCAGGCCCACACTCCTGTCATTGGCCAACCCTCATGATGGTTCTCCTCCAAGGATAAAGTGGATTTTTCATTTGGACAACGCTTGAATGATCTCCAACCTATTGCCCACCTTCAGCCATCACTGCAATTAACAAATAAAAGCCTTCAAATAATTCTTGTTGTTAAAATGGTAGTTTTCTTTTTCAGAAAAGGGACCCTGTTATTTTTCTCTAATCCTTCTCAGGACTGTCTCCGTGAGAATGGCCATTAATTCCTGCAAACACCAGGATAATCCTGGAGGCTTGGCAACCCCAGATTCAAGATGGTCCTGATGTGATGGGCTGTGTGATTAAAGCTCCTTCTCAGTCAGCTCTCGCAGTGCTTTGATGACGTGTGTTGGCTGGCTCGCTGCATACTCCTGAAGGCTAGTGCCCATCTGTTGGTACAGGTTGGTTGCCAGTTTGGCCGTCACTGCACGCACATTCCCGCTTCCACCCTTGATCACTCTGTTCCCAGTCATATTGCCCAGTAGGTACCAGAGTACAGGCAAAACGTACCGCTCCACAGTTTGAGGCTTTCGACAATACACTGGCTGCACAAGGACTGCAGACAAGAAAGAAAACCAGAGAATCAGCACTGTGGGTCTGGACTGCATCACAACCTACAACCACTTAACCTGGAAATGGGTCTATGCGAGTATCAGAGTGGACAGCTCAGATTTAAACATCCATCAACATGAGGGGAGGTAAAAGTGGAAGCTCATGTCCATTGGTTACTTTGACCTCAAGGATGAGGGGACAGTTTCTCGCTTTCTCACTCTCTTGTTCCCCGAGGAACACCCAGGACCCTGAGCTCCATAAATCCATTCCCAAATCTCTCCACCTCCCTATCTCTTGTTCTTTAAAAAGCTGCTTATATCTGAAGAGACAGCATTTGCAGAGGTTCAGGCGAAATGGGATGAGGACATTTGCTCTTGCAGAGAGCTGGCACAGTCATGATGGACTGAATGATCTCCTTCCAGACCATAAACATTCAATGATTCTCATTAGCAATAACTAAAGATTCTTTTTAAAGTATGAAGAAATGCAAACGTCACATCTAAGCTTAGAATTCACACTTCATGAAGTTACACCCTGACTCGACTTCCCTAAACATTATGTCGTAATTATCTCCTTATCCACAGGCTCACCTGACAGTCGCTCTATGATGTCCTGCATCGCACGGCCATTGATGAACTGCACTCTGCTGGCGAAGGGCTGAAGGAGCAGTAAGTTGTCTTTTACAGGGAGAGTAAAGCAATAACAATTAATGCTCCTGGACACAAGAATCAGATAATTGATCAATAAATTGAGAAAAGTTAACCCAATCCACCCCATATGAGTGAGAGATCATTTACTCTGCATCATTATAGCACCAGAACGTTGAAGTCTGTAACATTTATGATACCATCAGTTATAGATGTAAAATACTGTTAGATGGTCTCGCTGATGGTCTCGAAAGACACTCTTTCGCCTTAAATATGTTATGAATAGATGGAAAATCTGAGATTTAATCCAAGTATCTTGTCTGATTAATTTTATTTTTAAACCCTTATCTGCTCACTTCTTGCAGTTCTTGTCCTACTGAAGACAATAATGCAGATTGAGTGATTTTCACTCGTGGAGACAATATTGTCAAAATAGGTACATTAATCCAATTGGAGCCAGTAAAGTCTTTAAAGCTGCTGTGGCAAGATGGCACCTTTAAAATTTTAATCTACCAGGTTTGTTAAAGTATGCAAACAGAGAGGACAGAAAGACAAGTTGGACCGAAGGGTCTGTTTCAGTGCTGTATAACTCTAAATCAGTTGTACAGTGAGTAAACAAACCACATCCTTGTCTGCAAGGGACTGCCAATGAATGAATGAAACAAAACCATACTGCAAAACTTCATCTCAGTGATTTCTGAACTTGTTTTGATTTATACATTCATCATAACAATAAATAGAAACTGGCATTCAAACATTGCTATAAATGCTCAATGAGCACACAAACGAGACCTGTGTCAGAACCATCAGTTTAAATTAATAAGTGTTTTAAATAAACTAGGGAGGTCATGAAAAATGCATGAATTAAACTGATGATCAGATTTTTGAATGGAACGGTAATGATGCTCTTTATGTTTGTCCAGGGAATTGCATACATATTTGCAATGGATTCATGACCTCACAACTGTGACCAATGGTGTATCTAGTAAATGAAAGTGGAGCCTGAGGCCTACCTATATGATCAATCAGTGTATCAAGGACGTGCACAGCTGCAGTGTAAATGCCCGTGTTCTTTGATTTCAAGTTGTCAGTGACCACAATGACTATCGAATGCAAGACCCGGTGCAAATCATCCTTCAGCACTGGGATCATTGTTGACATGGACTGCAGTGCAAACTGGTTCACTTTCTTATTCGAGTCCTGAAGTCTTGGAATGAAGACATCAAATATCTGAAAAATGAAGCCAACAAAAGCCTGAGAACCAGAATCTGAGAATGCAGGACACTTTAGCCAAGCCCAATCACTAAAGAGTAAAAAATGCACATACTGATCATTATATTAAACGGTCATGCTATGTTATCCCAAATTATAAACTTTGTGGTACTTTATTATATTCAATAAAGATGTCATACTGCAACAGGAGATTGTGCTTCAAGGGACTGGGGTAACATAATAGCTTTAGTTAAATGTTGGTTAATGGATGGAGAACAGAGAATAGAAAATAATTTCAAATGGCTAAACTACTGGAGAGGGTTCAGTACATTGGGATTAGCTAGTTACAGCGCTGATGTGCTTAGATAAGGGTGTTTCACAAACTAATATCCTTACACTGAATCAGGTAGGGGAAGACTTTCTGAAATTTACAACCATCTTATTGTGAAAATACAGTTCAATACAAGCACAGGCTTCTCCTTCTGGATCTTCTTGCTATCCAGAAAACAGATGGGGAAAACCCCAGCTCCTTTTCTTTTAATAATTCACCACCAAATCAACGAACAAATTATAAGGAGTGTCGGCCAAGGTCAGCAAAACCTTGCTTTCCTTTTTTAAATACCTACCACCAAATCACCCAATTAACAAATTAAATCAAATGACAATTTACAAACACTGCCCCTGCAACAATAACAAAAGTGAAGGAGTGGAGGAACAGAGGGAGGGGGACATAATGTCTTCCAACCGTGTGGAGCCCACTTCTCTCTAAATGCCTCAAGGGTCAGTGGAAAAATCCCTGCTCCTTTTATTTTAAATATTTTTTAAATCAACCTGTTCAGGGATGTTATTGCCCACCTCTGGCTTAGGTAGGACCTGAACTCCTGTCTCCTAATCCAGAGATAAGAACACTACCACTTCACCACAAGAACCCTCAAGGACATTCAGGAACCAAATGGGATTTTACAATAATCATTAGTTGCCATTTGACAGTTTTTATTCCAGAGTTTATCGAATTCAAAGTTCACGATCTGCCATGGTGAGATTTGAACACATGTCCCCAGGAGATTAGCCACTGGCGGAGAGAGTGGATGTTTGTCGATGTGGGGCCAAGTCAAGCGGACTGCTTTGCCCTGAATGGTTTAAAGCATCTTGAGTTGTTATTGTAGCTGCACTCATCCAGGCAAATGGGGAATATTCCATCACACTCCTGATATATGCCTTGTAGATGTTGGACACGATTTGGAGAATCAGAAGATGAGTTACTTGCCACAGTATTCCTGGTCTCTGACCTGCTCTCATAGCCATTGTGTTTTTATGACTAGTCCAGTCAAGTTTCTGGTCAATGGTAATTCCCAGGATGTTAATGGTGGGTGATTCAGCAATGGGAATACCATTGAATGTCAAGGAGCAATGGTTAGATTCTCCTGTCAGAGATGGTCATTTCCTGGCAATTGGAACAAAAACAGAAGTTGCTGGAAAAGCTCAGGAGGTCTGGCAGCATTTGTGAAGAAAAAAAAAAAATCAGAGTTAAAGTTTTGGTCGGTTTTCCTGACAATTGGACTTGGATTTTGTCCAGGTCTTTCTGCATTTGGAAATGGGCTGCTTCTGTATCTGAATCATCACGAACGGTGCTGAATATTGTGCAATCATCAGCAAACAACCCTAGTTTGACTTTTAATGGAGGGAAGGTTGGGGCAGGTTTTCCACAGAAATGAGGGAGATGTAGGTATTTACTGCCTCATAGCCTGAAAGTTGAAATCAAACCCTGAGATGATGAACTTGTTGCACCTCAAGGTTCTATTTTAGCTCAGTGATCAGGCAGAAAGGTCACAGACCAGAACGAGCACTGAATTCCAAATTCCTAACCTGAAAGGTCTTTCCCTGGCTTTATTTTTCGGAATGTCCTTACATATAGGTCTTACATTCACAATGTTGGAGGTGACGAAGCCTGGGTTGGTCTCACAATGTTGAAGCAGCAGCGAGATGCCCTGTGTCCTCTCCTGGAACTCTTTAGAAGACAGCAACTTGTTCATTTGCTTCACCTGCTCCACGGCTTCTGTCCCCCGAATGATTGATCGACGTGGTGACAGTCCCTGCTGTCGTGGTGTGTCCAGCTCTGCCCTGACAAAAAGTAAGTACCACACATTACTACAGATCGCAATCTGCCTATCAAATTAGGGCCTATTCGCCAAGCCTGTGCTCCAGCTGGTGAGAGTCACAACCTGTACTTCTATAGCGCCTTTGAGTTAGTAAATTATTCCAAAGCATTTCAAAGGTGCATCTTCAGACAAAAACTGACACAGAGCAGCATGACAAGATAGTTGATTGAAAGCATGTTGATAGAACCATGCAAAGGTCGAGAGAAAGGCAGAGTCAGAGAGGTTCAGGGATGGAACACTGGAGCATAGGGCCTGTATAGCTGAAGACACAACTGCAAACATTCAGCGAAAGATGTTGGGATTGTGCACGAGTTCAGAATGAGAAGAGTGTAGAGTTCCTGGAGGACTGTAGAAAGGTGTGGAGATGAGACCACAAACAATTTGAACACAATCACTCAGGATCAGGTTAAAAATTGGTTATGCCACAGGACTCAATGATCACAGCACTTGTTGGTTAAATTTCCATGCTTGATTCAAAAATTCAAAGTTTAATTTTTAGTACCTGTACTCCAATCCACTATATCCTAAAGGAATCAGTTAGCATTCAGTGGCTAAACTGTGATTGAGATTCCTGCCATTCAAGTGGAGAGAGAGGGGTCATGGAAATCTGGACCAGGCACCTAAATCTGGACACCATGTGTGCATGTATTGAAATGTATTTCTGTGACTATTGATATTATAATTTAGGAGGAGAAGAGAGTACATATGTCTGAATTGCTGGTAGTTTAAACTGCTCTGCAGGCATTATGGGTTACTCACCCATTATCACAACTATCTGAGTCTCATTCCCTCAAGAGTGGAAGCTGCTGTTGCTATGTTGCACTATCAAAGTCAAAATTACCTTCATTGGAAATGGAAAGGGGGAAAATTCAATGGAAGGTTGACAATCTGCAAAGGCAATTTACAGATTAGAAATTGTATCCCGGATTGTCAGTTTAACAGAGTTGTTGGACCCTTATCTGTTACAAGGTTGAGGGGGAGCACCAATTTCTTTCTAGAACCACTCCTCCACCGGTCTCAATAAATGTTAATGTATATCTCTGACTGCGTTAGGTTCAGTATGAGGAACAAATCAGCCAGGTTTCTTTAATAAAAAAGAAAGGAGTGCATTACAAATAAAACTTACTCAACAAAGAGTAAGGCAAAGCTCATTGGCAAACAATTTGCACTGTGCAAATATGTGTAAAACTACTCTGCGAACACATACACACAAGGGGGAGGCAATGGCCTAGTGGTATTATCACTGGACTATTAATCCAGAGACCCAGGTAATGTGCTGGGGATCTGGGTTCAAATCCCGGCATGGCAGATGGCAGATGGCAGAATTTGAATTCAATAAATATCTGGAATTAAGAGCCTAATGATCGTAAATCCATTGCCAATTGTTGGAAAAATCCATCTGGTTCACTAATGCCCTTTAGGGAAGAAAAATGCCATCCTTACTTGGTCTGGCCTACGTGTGACTCCAGACCCACAGTAATGACCCTGGGCAATTAGGGATAGGCAATAAATGCTGGCCTAGCCAGTGATGCCCTCATCCCGTGAATGAATAAAGAGAAAAAATGTATGAGGAAAACAATGAAAAAAAGTTAACTTCACAGAGTGTTAACTTAAGAGTAAGTTGTAGATTGTCCCAAATGGTGAATTGTGTTGAAAGCTATTCTGCTAACACAAGCCGTTGACAATGGGCTGTCTTCCTGCAGATGTAGATGGTTGAGTTCCCTTTGCTGAAGAGTGAGGTAAATTCCAAAATAAACATGACTTCTAGTAGGTTTCAGCTTGCACACTTTGCTGAGTACCAAAGAAAGAGAGAGTGAGCAAATGGCTTTTGTTCTATCAGCAACATATCCCAAAATCTCTGAAACTGGGTTCAAAATGCCATCCACAAAGTGGGCCATGTGATCACTATACATTTAGATTTCTCCATCTGGACCTTTGCTCCTTGCAGATGCAACATTGCTGCTGTTGTATCATGTGCCTTTCCCCTTTGCAAATTCTCCTTTGTTAAACATTCAAGATGTCTGTATTATAACGGTCCAATCAGTGTTATTATAAATTAATATTTGGATCCCACCTCTTCATATAGTATGCTTCAGAATATTGTACTTTCAAACCCTATTCCAAGACTTGAGTACACCATCTTGGCTGACAGTCCAGTTTAGTCATGAGACATTGTTGCATAGCTGAAAGTGCTGCTCTCTGGATGAGTTATTAAACTTGTCTGGTGCAGTGGTTTAATTGCTTGCTAAAGATTTTACCACATTCTTCAAACAGGATCAGGGATTTGTTATTTATTCCACCATCAATCAACAAAATCAGAGGCTAATTAGTCACAAACTAACAATGACCTCATAATATGCAAAACGGCAGTTACACCTACCTCTTTCATAATAGTGCCTGCACTAGTTACTCAGTGTAGGTAAGATGTGAGAACCCTTTTTATAGTGAGTCTCTCTTTTTCTCTGCTAGTTCCACTTGTGGCAGTGAAGGCAATGACAGGGATGAGTTGAAGAACATTCTTAATTGGGGTTTACTGGAAAAATAAGTCTAATACTTAATGATTTGAAGGCAAACATCTTCTCCATCTCCTCTGGTCCTTATCAGTCATGCAGCTGTAGCAACTGAATTAGTGACCCTGTAGCCTGCTCCCAGGACTCCATCAATACCGCTGCCTAGAGGTCAGTGAATGTAACTCAATGGAATATTTCTCTCTAATCTATCTTTAGAGCCTGCACAGATTCACTCGGTCAAGTTCGAGAACTCAGTGGGCATGTAGGTGATGGAATTCTTGCTAACACGGTTCATATATGGCATTTCTGTCCCTTTACATACTGATGAGAAATTACCAGGGTGCAAAAGCACCACCAAAAGAAATTAGAAAGTGAGGCAGAAAACAGTCCATCAAGGAGGATTGCTTGGCTGATGCCTTTAGAAACGTGGATTTTGTTATGATCACAGTTCAAAACCCTGAAGGGTAGCGGAAATTTTTAACATTATTCAAAACTGTGCTTCTTTGAAGATACAAAACTGACTGCAGATGTAAATTAAATGGCTGGCTGGAGACAGAGACCAATGGAATGTAACACCTGAAACATCAAAGAAACTTCACACAGACTGGACTATGATCTCCTATCACTCCAAAGATAATAAGGGGCTGATAACCCTCTCTCAACAAACAGTCAACCTCTGTGATTATATCCCAATCTGCAGACACATTCTGTGCTTTTCCTTTGGGAGATTAAATGAGAGCCAGGGTTAAAAAGTTGTTTCAATTCTACTGGAGTTGATTCCTGGGACTGAATGCTCTTGTATGTACCTGCCTGGGTTCAGGGTATTCGTGTGCTGTGAGGTTGCAGTCAAAAGAATCATCCCCTAGTTACCTTTATGTCACACATAAAGACTCTCTCTCACTCCAAATGCTGCAAACCAGTTAAAACAGAAACAGGTCAACAAAGCCCTCTCTCTCACCCTGGATACTGGAACTCGATCACGGTCGAAAGGCTTCAGAACTACAGAATCTCAACCAATCTTCAAAAGGAAGGATTATGAAACCAATTGTTCACCAACCAACATCAACGCTACCAGTAACCTCAATTGCAACGGCCACAATGTTCAATTATCCACTCTTCACAAACAATTCAGAGATTGATACATATCTTTCTTTTTAAACTTTTATATTTTTGAGCTCATCTCATTTTGAGTCAGTGTATGTGTGTTGTGCTTATAATTCGTCCCACTATTAATAATTAATAAAGACACTCTTAAGTCAACAACGCCTGATTAAATTGTCTCCTTTTAAAATGTAAGTTAATTTCGTCCTGAGAGAAAAGGCATCCACATAGAATGGGACCTTTTTATGTTAACATTGTTGCAGCCAACCAAACATGGTGATGAATAAAGAAGGTGAGTCAGTTCATTCCTTCTCACTCAGAAGCTTCAGAGTTGGGAGTATCCTATCTGGAACCATAATGAATTGGGAAATCTCACCCGGAGTCTGGTCGTCACAATTCATCAAACCCAACCATCCCAATGTCTGCAGCTGTTTGTAGGATCAACACATAGTTCCGCTGAACAGGGATTTTGTGAAGAATGAGGAGCTGAAGTGATGGGAAGATCCATGCCTTTAGTCCCTAGGCATGTGTAGTTTGGTCCCCATTTGTTAAAAGTGATTGAAGTGCAGCTGTGGATAGTGTGTAAATACTAATGGTAAAAAGTGTATGGCGAGTTGTGAGTTCAATAATAAAGAATCAAATTGAATAATTTTGTATAATTTGACTAGGTTGTATAACGAGCTGTTTTAAAGATAAAGATCAGAGTGTGCATTTGCTACAACTGATGTCTGTGTTTAAAGTAACAAAAGAAAATAGAGTAGCACAAAGATGTCAGGATTGAGGTTTGGAGTAATAAAGCTACATTTAAGTCAACAGAAATATAAATGCAGCAAATGTCATTTTACTAAAGCAATATATTTAGTTGATACTAAAGTTAAAATTTTCACCTTCCAGTATTTGGTATATTCTCCTGATATTTTAAGGAACTGTTGATCCTTGAGCTTCTACCCTTTGGTGAATAAGGATCGGAAAAGGCATCTCCCTGAATAAGAGAAATAAAACACGCTTAGTAAATGTTCAACAATTTGCCACTTTTCACTTACCAATCCAAATCAATGTCTGCCCAAGTTGAAAACCTGTCCCTTACTGACCAAGGTGGCCAAGTAGGGAACAGTGTGGACTGGCTTGGCACTTATACTTCAGAATTGCTAAGTCAAAGTACTAGGAGAGAAAAAAAACAACAGGGACGTGCTCAGAATCATCCAAGATAGTCACTCTTTTCTCATCAAGGTCTAAATGTGGCCCAAGGGAGTCTGGGTTATTGCTATGGTTTTTGTGCCATTTCTTTGCTAAGTCACTGAATGATCTTTGATGGATTCTTTAGCAGGGAATTTGTAATTGGGATTGTTCAAGAGGATTCAACAAAGTTTTGAGTTGAGGGGGGAAAAAAGGGAGAAAATAATTAAGCTAGAGGTAGCAGGAACTGCAGATGCTGGAGAATCCGAGACAACAAGGTGCAGGGCTGGATGAACACAGCAGGCCAAGCAGCATCATAGAAGCAGAAAGGCTGACGTTTCGGGCCTAGACCCTTCATCAGAAAAGGGGGAGGGGAAGGGGTTCCGAAATAAATAGAGAGAGAGTGGGAGGCGGATAGAAGATGGATAGAGGAGAGGATAGGTGGAGAGGAAACAAACAGGTCAAAGAGGCGGGGATGGGGCCAGTAAAGGTGAGTGTAGGTGGGGAGTTAGGGAGGGGATAGGTCAGTCCAGGGAGGATGGACAGGTCAAGGGGGCGGGATTAGGTTAGTCGGTAGGAGATGGGGGTGCGGCTTGAGGTGGGAGGAGGGGATAGGTGGGAGGAAGAACAGGTTGGGGAGGCGGGGACGAGCTGGACTGGTTTTGGGATGCGGTAGGGGGAGGGGAGATTTTGAAGCTTGTGAAATCCACATTGATACCATTGGGCTGCAGGGTTCCCAAGCGGAATATGAGTTGCTGTTCCTGCAACCTTCGGGTGGCATCGTTGTGGCACTGCAGGAGGCCCAGGATGGACATGTCGTCTGAGGAATGGGAGGAGGGAGTTGCAATGGTTCGCGACTGGGAGGTGCAGTTGTTTATTGCGAACCGAGCGTAGGTGTTCTGCAAGGCGATCCCCGAGCCTCCGCTTGGTTTCCCCGATGTAGAGGTAGCCACACCGGGTACAGTGGATGCAGTATACCACATTGGTAGATGTTCTGACGTACCACCCCACCAACCTCCGGATCCAACGCATCATCCTCCGACACTTCCGCCATCTGCAATCCGACCCCACCACCAAAGACAGCTTTCCCTCCCCACCCTTATCTGCTTTCCGGAGGGACAACTCTCTCCGTGACTCCCTTGTCCAGTCCACACTCCCCTCCAGCCCCACCACACCCGGCACTTTTCCCTGCAACCGCAGGAAGTGCTACACCTGCCCCCATACCTCCTCCCTCACCCCCATCCCAGGCCCCAAGAAGACTTTCCACAGCAAGCAGATGTTCACCTGCACATCTGCCAATGTGGTATACTGCATCCGCTGTACCCGGTGTGGCTTCCTCTACATCGGGGAAACCAAGCGGAGACTCGGGGACCGCTTTGCAGAACACCTACGCTCGGTTCGCAATAAACAACTGCACCTCCCAGTCGCAAACCATTTCAACTCCCCCTCCCATTCCTCAGACGACATGTCCATCCTGAGCCTCCTGCAGTGCCACAACGATGCCACCCGAAGGTTGCAGGAACAGCAACTCGTATTCCGCTTGGGAACCCTGCAGCCCAATGGTATCAATGTGGATTTCACAAGCTTCAAAATCTCCCCTCCCCCTACTGCATCCCAAAACCAGTCCAGCTCGTCCCCGCCTCCCCAACCTGTTCTTCCTCCCACCTATCCCCTCCTCCCACCTCAAGCCGCACCTCCATCTCCTACCGACCAACCTCATCCTGCCCCCTTGACCTGTCCGTCCTCCCTGGACTGACCTATCCCCTTCCTAACTCCCCACCTACACTCACCTTTACTGGCCCCATCCCCGCCTCTTCGACCTGTTTGTTTCATCTCCACCTATCCTCTCCTCTATCCCTCTTCTATCCGCCTCCCACTCTCTCCCTATTTATTTTGGAACACCCTTCCCCTCCCCCTTTTCTGATGAAGGGTCTAGGCCCGAAACGTCAGCCTTTCTGCTCCTATGATGCTGCTTGGCCTGCTGTGTTCATCCAGCTCTACACCTTGTCTTAAATAATTAAGCTAGTCTGGTCTCACACACCTCCTGATCGAACAATAACAGCACAGTAGAACTGAAGGGCAAATCCCCACTCTGCTTTCATTCATGGAATGCTGGTTGCTAGGGAGACATCCAGAAGGAGAAGCCTTGCTCATGAATTTCCACTCAGCAAGTTGACAATCCTATCAATAATTGGAATACATAGATGAGAGGGCTGACTTCATGTTAGAGAATGGTTACAATCAAAAACTCCATTAGCCAGGCTCCTATCAAGCTCCTATTGATATCTTACCTGAAATTACACTGATGGAGAAGGGAATAAACCATCTACTGGGTCACCAATTCTGAATGATATTTTCATTGCTGTAAGATATCGAGCAATTAAGTCACTCAGTAATTATTTGTTGAGATTGTGTAATGTAAACTGACCATTTGTAGTGCCTTTTTCCTTGCTGGAAAGCTGGCTGTTGTCATGGGTCTGGCTTTTAAGCTGTACAGTCATGGTCCCATCAGTCAGCAGTGCTCCCGCTCAATTGTTGTTCGATATTTCCTGATCAACCTGTTCAGACATGTTACGACACACCGCCAGGGTAGGTTAGACTTCTGACCCAGGAGTTACGGACGCTACCACTGCATCACAATAGCCCTTTCCTCAGGGGCCCAACCATCTTCAGCTGCTTCAACAATGACCTTCCCTCCATCGTAAGGTCAGAGGCGGCATGTTCACAGATAACTGCTCAATGTTCAGCACCATTTGTGATTCCTCAGATAGATACTGAAGTTTAGAATGGCATCATAGTCAGCATAGACATTGTGGGCTGAAGGGCCTGTTCCTGTGCTGTATTGTTCTATGAAGCATATGCAGACACAAATGCAGCAAAACTTGGATAATATATGGGCTTGGACTGATAAGTAGCAAATAAAATTCACCCCACACTATTGCAAGACAATGACCTTCTTCAAGGGGTATCTAACCTTGATATTCAATGGCATGCCCATTGCTAAAATTAAAATTCTGTGGCTTACCGTTATGAGGGATTATCTTTTTAAAATAATTTAGTATGTTTTAAAATATAAACTAAAATTTGTATATGTTTGAGATAGCCCCTACCGTGAGAACAGAAGCTGAATTGAAAATGAAATTGAAAGAGAAGCAGAAAAGATAAATGCAGCAATGAAACTAAACTTATCATTTTCTTAAGAAACAAAAAAAAAAAACTGAGGTTGGGAAATAAACATGTAAACCTTAGTTAAAGATATAGGACATTGCTCAGTTCAAGCTGAGCAGTTGTAGTTGTTGAGTCCACTAATGCAAAACAAACAAGCTGATGGTGATAGTCCATATCCAGAAGCTTAGAATAAGTTGCTGCAGTTGTTTCTGTTACTGGAAAACAATATTAGTGGGTCTACTCCATCTGGACCAAACTTCAGATGCTGGCGAACACTATGTTCATGGACCTTGGATTGGTTGGCACTGCTATAAACTGGAGGTTAGGTTAGTTCCCAAAAGGGGAAGAACTGAAATTACTTACGAGAAAGACAGAAATTGAAACACTTTGTGATTCATCCTCATTCAAGTCGGAGTAGAGGGCCGAGCCAAGATCACAAGATCTGCCTTACTTGAGTTTGCCATTTAAGTACTAATTTATAGTTTACATGTTACCACAATTAGTCTGTTAGTTTATGCTTAACTCAAATTCTGCATGTTAAGAGCACAGGAAAGATAATATTTTGTGTTTGCTTTGACGACTCTGGTCAAGCAAAAATCACTCTTAAAATGTGGAATTTTGTGACTTTCTTCCCTTAGTAACTGACTTTTGGATTTCAAATTTCATTCACAACGCAAAAACAAAAAATTAGTAATTGGAACTGAACTGGACTTGCCACATAAATACGGTGGATACAAGATCACATCAAACTGGAAATTTTGATGAGAGATACTCACCTCCTAACCACCGCTTGTCGCCCCCCCACAAAAGCCTGCCTACCATCTAGACTGCACAAGTCAATTCTGTGATGGATGAGTGTGGCTTCATCCAGGACAAAGTCTTCCCTCTCCGTTTGGAAACCTATTCGCAACCATAAACATTCACTTCCTCTATTACCGGCGCACTGTAGCAGCAGGGTGCACCATCTACATGATGCGTTACAGCAAATGACCAAGGTTCATTCGACAATTTAGGATAGTCATGTGTTTCTCACAGTAATCTACTAATCACAGTAAGGTACTTTTTTAAGTAGTCCTAAGATGTCACCTTACACTGATGGACATCATCTTGTTACTGAACTTTAATCCTGATAGCTAGTACCACAGTGAAAGTGAGAATCAAGGTTACTGGTTCAAACATGCCAGCTGGAGACTCACCCGCTGTTTTATAGCTGTGATGATGTGGTGCAAATCCTGAGACAGAAGCGAGCGGTCCATGTGTCTCTCAAACTCTGGGTGGGACATCAAAACGTTCAGCGCCTTCCGACCATAAAACCTTTCAGACAATGGAAAACAAACGGGACATTTACACCCACCAACTGGTTGTCACCGAAGTTCTCTCTAAGCCATCCAAGCACACAGCAACTTCAATGTGCTCATGCACAGCACACGACAGTCCTTTTACCAAGCATGCATGTCTGTTAAATAAAATGAAAGATCCTGTGCACTTATTACCCATGCACTATAAAATAAAGATAGTGTTCTCTACAAAGCTAAGAAAATTTACAAGGAGGAATAAGTATTTAGATCAAGGAGGTTTATGAAGAATCCAAAATGGGCTGCCCATTGAAATAGCTGCTGCAGTTCTGAGTTTGAGGCACTCAAACCTATCATTACCACAGAGATGAGAGACATAAGGAGATATATTCCCCAGGAAACTCACTGCACTACCTAACCCATCACACATCACTAATATTGACAGTATGTTCCCTACAGCGCTGAAACTTAGAAATTACTTCTCACAATATTTAACAAGCAAATGCTCTGTAAACAGAAAATGCCACTTGTTTAATGTAGCAGTGGCAAGTACTGTAAGGGACCTTGTTTAACAGCAGACAGAGGTTGACAGGAGTGTGTTAAGCTATCATTTGGTAGTATGAACAGCAATAATTCTAGATTGTGTTTTACTGGGTCACATAAGCCTCTTTTGAAATAGCCCACTTTAATCTTCAAAGTAGCCTCTACAAAGATTGACAAGAGAACTGAAAAAGTGTCAATTACAACATGACTATTTCCATCACTACTGAAAGGTATTACTATGAGCATAAATCTTATGGAAATCTGTAAGGAGAAGAGGGGTATCAGCTCATGTAGCACAATCTTCTTTACCTTTACAGGGTCATAGAATCAGAGATCAACAGCACAGAAAAAGGCCCTTTGATCCACCAGAGATAGTAGGAACTGCAGATGCTGGAGAATCCGAGACAACAAGGTGCAGGGCTGGATGAACACAGCAGGCCAAGCAGCATCATAGGAGCAGAGAGGCT